TCCTTCCTCTTTCCCCTGCCTTCTCCGTTCTGCCCCGCCCTCCCTCTTTCTGCCCTTCCCCATTTGGTCCCGCCCTCCCTATGTTCTCTCCCGCCCTCGCCGGTGATCCCAATGCCGCCAGGTGATAAATTGATCTCTTCCTTTCCTTTCCAGCTCCTGTCAATGACTTGGACACACCATGGATGGCGGAGGGGCTGGCCCGGACCTGCAGACGCAGGACACCAGAATCCCGCACACTATGATCATGCAGGACTTCGGTAAGTCGCCTCTTATCACAGAGCTCGCAAAACTGTTTCCAGCGGAGGAAAAAAAAAGAAAATGTCACCCGGTCCATTCACCAGGAATGTTCCACTTCTGGGGGGACGCTGGATATTTACCACCCGCCTGTCCCCCCGTATCTCAGGCATTGCGAGATGAGTTCTCTTGTTTGCACACCTACTACAGACATAACCAGGGGGTCCCCCAAACTATGCAGAGTGCAGCAGCAGGAGTGGGACACCCCAAGGTGGGCGGGAACATTCAGGAATGATGGCGCAGAGAATCATAAGAAGCCAGCAGCAGACAAAGACCGTCACTTGTATCTAAAACATCCTTTCCGCGTGGATCATCCCTTTCATGTGTTCTCTGATAGGGCCGAATGTAATAACATCGACAGCCAATCAGAATCAAGCACCGAGGGCAGATTTGAGGTTTCCCCCCGTTCTTAGTGGACACCCATTGATACACGAGACCAGTGGCATAACAACTGGGGGGGTAGCCCCTGCGCTGGCCCCGGGCATAAAGCTGAAGGGGGGCGCCGGCCGAAAATGCCACTTTTGGCTCAATGCCGTTTTTTATCGGCGCATCCCTGATTTCTCTCCCCCCCGCTTGGCGGTGCTCTTTGTCCCAGCGGGGAGGAGAGAAAGTAACAGCCAGCCGAGCGCTGCGGGAGGAGACCGCCGTGAGCGGCCGGCGTCTCTCCTCCCACACCGCTCAGCCGCCTATCACAGTCCGGCAGAGCGGTGCGGGGGCGGAGACAGGCCGCTCTGTCACAGAAGGCTGAGCTCTCCTCCCCTAACCGCTCGCTCAGCCGCCTCCTGTGACAGCTGTCAGGATGGAGAGCGGTACAGGCAGTCTGTGATCAGTGATCGCTGAGTGTTTGTAGATAATTGAGGACAGAGTATGGTTACTATATCCTCAATTATGAATGAATGGGAAGTGATCTACATCACATTACATCACTTCCTGTTCATTCATAGTTGTAGTTATAGTACACATACTATGTTATCAATGAACACTCATAGAGGATTCCTGTTCATTGATAACAGGGGACGCAGAAAAAGAGATTGGGGAACCCAAAAAGTAAAGTAAAAAAATAAAAATATTTAATAAAAAACGAATTAATGAAAATTAATTTTAAAAAATTAAAAAGTTTATAAAAAATATTTGAAAAATTTGAAAAAATGTAAATAAAAACGTGTGGGGGTGCGGGGTACAGTTCCAGTGGATGTTTATATAAGGGGGGGGGCGGAAAAAAAAATTCTGCCCCGTGCGCCCATAACTGGTTACGCCACTGCATGAGACCTATAGGCCTGGTTCACACCTGTACGTTTTGTAGCTCGTTCAACGCGAGACAAAACGCTCAAACATGAAAATCCCATTGTTTCCTATGGGCATGGTTCACACCTTGCCGTATTTCAGCCCGTCTGAACGCGCTACAAAACGGCCTACGCCTGAAAAGGTACAGGAGCTTCTTTGCGGCGTTTTTGTCGCGTGTTTCCATTGGGATACAGCCAATGGAAAAACGGTAAAAACTTGCGTCACGAAACGCGCGACAAACGCGCATATTCGATACGCCTAGGTGTGAACAAAGCCATAGTGTGTTATATATACAGTCATGTGAAAAAGTATGTACACCCCGTGCAAATCATGAACTCTCTCGACATATTTGAAGAGGAAACATTAGATCTTCATTGACACTGTGCCTGCAGATACAAGTGAGATAGATATTTCTATCACCTTTTCATATGCAGTCTCTCTTAATAGAGATTGAATGTTTTCCTGTGCAAATACATTTTAAAAAGGCACCAACTTCCATGGGGTGTACATACTTTTTCACATGACTGCATGTACATTGTCTTGGTATTACACTCCGGGGTGCAGGGTGATGGGATAAAAGGATTTGGATGGTAATTGTAAATAAGATTAGAGGAATTAGTGGGGAGATCACTGCTGATTCTTTCATCCTATTACCTCTGTCTGTGTCTGATGGGATATACACTCTATTGCCAAAAGTATTGGGACGCCTTTACACGCACATGGACTCTAATGACATCCCAGTCTTAGTCCGTAGGGTTCAGTATTGGGTTGGCTCCGCCCTTTGCCGCTATACCAGCTCCGCCTCTTCTGGGAAGGCGTCCACAAGGTTCAGGAGCGTGTCTATGGGAATGTTGGACCATTTGTGAGGTCAGGTACTGATGTTGGGGGAGGGGCTCGCATTCTCCGCCTCTAATTCATCCCAAAGGTGTTCTATGGGGTTGAGGTCAGGACTCTGTGCGGCCAGTCACGTTCCTCCCCCCCAAACTCCCACATACATGTCTTTATGGAGCTTGCTTTGTGCACTGGTGCGCAGTCATGTTGGAACAGGAAGGGGCCGTCCCCAAACTCCTCCCACAAAGTTGGGAGCATGAAATTGTCCAAAATGTCTTGGTGTGCTGATGCCTTAAGAGTTCCCTTCACTGGAACTAAGGGGCGGAGCCCAACCCCCGAAAAACAACCCCGCCCCCAAACTTTACACTTGGCACAATGCAGTCAGGCAAGTACCGTTCTCCAGGCAACCGCCAAACCCAGACACGCCCATCGGATTGCCAGACAGAGAAGCGTGATTGGTCCCTCCAGAGAACACGCCTCCTCTTCTCTAGAGTCCAGTGGCGGCGCGCTTTACACCACGGCATCCCACGCTTTGCATTGCACTTGGTGATGTGCGGCTTGGATGCAGCTGTGGGGCTGAGGGGGGTCACAATACTTTTGGCAATATAGTGTATGTCAGCGCTCCCATATATTGAAGAGATTGGGTAATGCTCTGTCACCTACAGACCATCCATCCTCTGTGTCTCTGCGGGGTTAGCTCCAGCTGGGGAAGAGTTAAAGTATTACATACATGATACAGTCTATCAGTAGTATTAACACAGCTGATTTTATTTTTCTCCCTGTAAAGCTGGCCATAAACTGTACAATAATTAAAAAAATGTACGATCTGCTTATCTTGGACAGGCAGATCGTACTTACGATCATCGCAAGCCCGTGGAGGGGCGGGTTTCCGATGACAGCAACGCTGAACGGGCGCACACCGGCCCGTTCGGCATTTGTCTCCCGAGCATGCCACAAACCAGCCGACAATCGTACGATTTTCGGCTGGTTTTCTAGCGTGCTCCTTAGACAAAAGACGTGCGACCGTACAGTAGAAACGGTCGCACGTCTTCCACACACCTTGCGATTATCGTACGCTCGCGGGATTTCCAGCGATTATCGTACGATAATCGCACAGTGTATGGGCACCTTAACATAGTTTTTATCACCTGATTGGCAGAATTAGAATCATTTGCAAAGAAACTGCATCTCACTGACTAAAAATATTAATTGTGATAAAATAATACACCATGAAATAATAATAATCTGTAGCAGGCACCAACAATGTAGCAGGCACCAACAATGAAGCAGGCACCAACAATGTAGCAGGCACCAACAATGTAGCAGGCACCAGCAATGTAGCAGGCACCAGCAATGAAGCAGGCACCAACAATGTAGCAGGCACCAACAATGTAGCAGGCACCAGCAATGTAGCAGGCACCAGCAATGAAGCAGGCACCAACAATGTGGCAGGCACCAACAATGTAGCAGGCACCAACAATGTAGCAGGCACCAGCAATGTAGCAGGCACCAACAATGAAGCAGGCACCAACAATGTGGCAGGCACCAACAATGTAGCAGGCACCAACAATGTAGCAGGCACCAGCAATGTAGCAGGCACCAACAATGAAGCAGGCACCAACAATGTGGCAGGCACCAACAATGTAGCAGGCACCAACAATGTAGCAGGCACCAGCAATGTAGCAGGCACCAACAATGAAGCAGGCACGAACAATGTGGCAGGCACGAACAATGTAGCAGGCACGAACAATGTAGCAGGCACCAACAATGTAGCAGGCACCAACAATGTGGCAGGCACCAACAATGTGGCAAGCACCAACAATGTAGCAGGCACCAGGGCACTCTGTGCACGCTGTATAAAGCCCTGTAGTCCCGGACTGGAGCGTACAGCTTAGGATGTCACTGCTGTGCCTGCACACAGACCATGCAAGGCAGCGTTGTCACCTTATGACAGGAAGTAGCTGGGGGACAATATGCCACAGAAGTTTTAGAATGCAAAGGAAGGCCGCACAGCAATATTATTCAGCGGCCCATGTCCACTGAAAGGTAAAATATTTGAAGCTGAACTCCAGGCAAATATGAAGGAGACAAATAAATGCAGCTCTGTATGTATTAATACATCATTACATTTAAAGGGGCGGGGCATGGCTCAATGCTGAGTTTTAATTGGACAGAATTTAGTACGGACGCATTGCTCTAATAATATCGTATCCAGGGTTCCACATCATCGGGAACGTCTCATATTTATATCCATGGGCAGTGCAGGAATATTAACAGTTCTTGTCTTCTGTGTGTCCCCACAGTGGCCGGGATGGGTGGCACCGCCCACATTGACGGCGACCACATCGTCGTGTCGGTCCCCGAAGGCGTCTTGGTTTCCGACGTCATCACGGATGACGACATTGCGCTTGAACATGACGGGATGTCGGACGACGTGGTCCAAGGTCCGGATATCATCACCGAGGCCGACATCGTCACAGAGAACATCATCGTTCCGGAGGCGGTCCTGGAAACGGATGTGGCGCTGGAGGAGGAGGAGGAGGAGTTAGACAGCGGCCATCACGTCCTGGAGTCCGACATCATCACCGAAACCGTCGCTGTCCCCGACCAAGTGTTTGTCGCCGACCTCGTCAGTGACGGCGATGGTCAGCTGGCACAGGTGGTACAAGATGGCTTGTCTGGGTCTCATTCGCCCACACTGGTCTCTCAAGAAGTTCTGGTGGCAAGCTGCGATTCGGACGCCATTATCCAAGCGCCTTGCGGCTCCTCGGTGGGAGTCAAAACTGAGGAGGAAGAAGACGATTTAAAGGGGGAGGCTGAGGATTATTTAATGATATCATGTAAGTCAGACTACAGAAATTGCGTCTGTTACATAGCTCCTCCTCCTGGGCACACAGGTAGCTTGTGATCTGATCATGTGACCTTGGACCTCCCCCATTCTCACACGTTTCACCCAGAAAGGACTAAGACTCTTTCTAGGGGAAACGCGTCAGCGTGCAGAGGCTTTTGCGGAGACGATGGTTTCCAGAGCCGGAGCTTTCTCAGACTCCTCATAGAACCTAGTGATAGTCCTCCTGGTATTTCCCATGATCCTAATGCGTGTACATACAGGTGCGTGTTCAATTGCCTGCGTATCATGAGTTAGCACTGAGATGGAAATGTTTTTTTGTTTCATTCAGTAGACGATGTCGGGGAGCGCCTGGAGCGGATGGGCAGCACCCCCCTAAAAATCAGCACGGAGGTCTCCCACGGGGATGGGTGTAAGGAAGACGGGTTTGGTTCGGAGGTGATTAAAGTTTACATATTCAAAGCGGAAGCGGACGATGATGTGGAAATAGGTGAGTGACTATCGCGCATGATTCGGCCATAAACCGCTCTGTATGTATCATCGTCTGCCAGAGAAGAGCAGAGAGGTTCACATTTTCACTGCTCAGGTCCCCCAACACACAGATTAAAGGGTTATTAAACCCTCTTTTTAAGCAGTTCTATGCAAAACGATGCCAAAAAAAAAAAGGGTTCTTACCAGTGTCTCCTCCGGGCGCTCCCATCCGAACTTCTGAAAATTTCTCGGGCGGCTGCAAAGGATCTTGGGGCGGGCGCATGCACAGTTCAGATGTTCGGCCGGGAGACAAGGAGAGACGCAAGGTAAGTACACTATATTGCCAAAAGTATCTGGCCCCTCCCCCTCCAAATCATTGGATTCGGGTGTTCTGTGACATTTCCCGGCTACTAAATATTCCGCCGCGGTCGCCTGTTACTGGGATTATAACAAAGTGGAAGCGAGTGGGAACAACAGCAACTCAGCCAGGAAGTGGTGACAGAGCGGGGTCAGCGCACGCTGAAGCGCACAGTGCGCAGAAGTTGGCGACTGTCTGCAGAGAGGGCAGAGGAGTCAGCGCTGGAGGGACAGCTGAAAACTACATTAAAAGAAGAAGATCGGATTAAGAGGCATCATTTAAGGTAAGTCCTTACTTTAGCACTGTGGGGGGGGGGGAGGGACTTTAGCCTTTAATGTCACTTTAAAGCTCACCTCTGGGCAAAACATGAACCCCCCTTCCTCCCCCCTCTAACCCGCATTACCTTGCATCCAGCATCATGTAGTTCTTTCCTCCCCAGCCTGACTCTTCCTGGCCCGTCCCTTTCATTCATTTGATCCCACTTCTTTCAATCATGGAGCCTCAGCATCACATGAGGGCGAAACCTACAGCGCTCTGCATGCAGATACAGCCTGCCTAGGAACTCCCACTCCTCCAGGCTGACACCCACCCATCAAGGCATTGTGCTATTTGCATAGAGAAGCACATGGACGCAGTGATGACATCACTGGGTCTAAAATAAAGGTGACAATGAAAAAAAGTTTGATTTAGAAATGTCATTAGCATGTTGATGGGGGAGATGGAAAAACCAGGGAATGCAAAATATAAGCTTATTAAACTCCTCCCGGCCGGCCGCATGTAAACGGCCCCCCGGCCTGTTAGCCCCGCCCCGTTAGGCGGCGCGCACGAGCGGGAAACGACCAAAATGTAAAAACTGGTAGCGATGCTTGTTTACATACAAGCGTTCCGCCAGCTATAGAGCCGGTGGATGGCTTGTATGGGGTGCCGATGGGAGCAGGCGCCCCCCCTCCTGCAGGTCCCGGGCTCCGCTGTGCTGGCACAAGACCGGAAGCAGCATGGAGGCTCTCTGACGGGGGATCAGAGGGAGATCGGTACACGAGCTCCCTCCGCTTCCCTCTCTGGTGTCAGAATGCGGAAGTGGTGTATATTACATCACTTCCAGAAGCTGGAGAGAAGCTGATGAAGCAGATCTCTGCTTCATCAGCTTCTTTGGGGGTCCCCAGGTGACATTGGGAGTCTTGGAGACCCCTGATATCTCCATAAAGTATGTTTTACCTGATGAAGGGGATCCTATGTGACCCCGAAACGTTCGTTGTATTTTACCACGATTACCAATATTTAGCAAATTTGGAGTGCCGGTGTCTCTGCTTCAGCTCATAAAGAGGACCTGTCGCATCTCTCTGCTTTGCCCCCTATGTGATAACAATAAAGTTAAGTGGAAAAAAAAAAAGTCACACATGAAAAAGAATAAAAAAAGCACAAACATTTTTTCCCCACCCATACATACACGCATGCAAACATGCGTCGGGTGCGCATACGTGCGAAACGACGATTGCGCCCATTACACCGCGCGTGTTACATATCGCCGCGAACGTCGCAGTGAGAGCAATGATTTTAGGGCCATCAATCACTGATAACACTAAACTGATGAGCGGTAAAAGCTTTTAAAGCGTCGCCTATGGTCAATATTGGGTGTAGTAGTTTTTTTTATTTCGCGGGTCCGCGCAATTTTGACATGTTTGGTGTCTATTTACCTGGCTTGACACCATATTTTATATTTTACCCAATAATAAACGTTTTATAACATAATGTAAAAAAATTACTTTAAAAAATAAATAAATTTCAGTAATTTTTTATATAAAGGAAGGGGGTGTAAACACCTGGTCAGCGAGGGGTTAACTGTACACCTAACGCCTCCCCCAATATCGGCTCTGAGTCCATGAAGGACACCAGCGCTCCTCTCTTTACTTTGCTATTCAGAAAATGGGAGAGTTTATAAAAAAAAAATTGTCAGAGCCCCTTTTATCTTCTCCTCATTCCGTGGAGGGCATGACACATCACTGCTCCCGCCTAGGGGGGGTCTCACAAAGTTTCTGAAATCTGTATTCTATTCTGTACCTGCGCAGGGGGAACAGAAATAGTGACGGAGAGCGATTTTCAGAACGGACATCCTGTCGCCGGAGTCCTGGAACAGGCGGGACTGGCGCGATTACCGCGGGAGAAGATGGTGTACATGGCTGTTAAAGATTCCTCTCAGGAAGACGAAGATATCGGTAAGAATAAACACGGGAGGAAAAGTTCTCCGGGGCTCATGGAAACCCAACGACTTCCTGTCTAATCTGCGATATTATTGAGCGCAAAGGTCTGAGACTCCAAAATCTTTTACAATTAGACATTGAACACTAGGGATGCACCGATACCGGTATTTTGGTACCGAGTACCGATATATATTTTTCCCGGTACTCACCGATACCGGATACCGGAAGTAAAGACTCGCCACCCGGCTTCCCGATTAAAGAAGAACTATGGGGTCAGTGTTTTCCCCCATAGTTCTCCTTAGGGTAAGGGAAGGACACAAACTAGCGTCCTCCCGTCACCCTAAGCTCAGTATATAGGGAGCTACAGCTCGCGGTATACTGAGACGCCGCAGCTGATCTGGATCCGCCCAGCTGCGTGAGTGACAGCTGGCTCTGCCTATCTAGAGGCAGAGCCAGCTGTACCCGCCCCCTCCCCCGTCCGTTCCGCCAGTCAGCGCTGGAGGATCGGACCTGGGAGGGGGGAATCCAGCCGTGACAGGATCGAGAGGTGAGTGAGCGCCGGTATGTGTTCGCTCACCTCCCGATCTACTGAGCCGACCTGTGACAGTCTCATTGTCGGCTAGAACTATGAGGTGAGTGAAAAGCACTCCCCTCATAGTTCTCCTGCTAACAAGAAAGCCATCCCATGCCTCTCGTCTCGATGTGACGAGAAAGCATGGCGCCGACATGCTGGCCAATCATTAAAGCCAGGCGCCATGTAACGGCGATGTGCCCTGCTTCCTGATTGGCCGGGAGGCCGGCTCCATGCTCCCTCGTCATGAGATGAAGAGGGAGCATGAAGCTGGCTTCCCGGCCAATCGGAATACCGGGCGCTGCGTCATTACACGGCGCCCGGCTTCCTGATTGGCCAGCTTCCCAACCAATCAGGAAGCCAGGCAGCACGTCATTACACACTGCCCTGCTTCCTGATTGGCCGGGAAGTCAGCTCCATGCTCTCTCATCACAAGTAACAAGATAGCATGCTGCCGCTTCCCGGCCAATCAGGAAACCGGGCAGCGTGTAATGACACGCTGCCCGGCTCCTTGACACCTGAAGTATCGGGCTAGGCATCGGAGCATTTGGCCGAGTACTCGCCCAGATACTCGGTATCGCCACCTATATCGATACTAGTATCGGTATCGGTGAATCCCTATTGAACACCCAACATGTTTCAGGGGTTCGGAGAGCTAGCCCTCTAGTATGTAATCTGCCAATACTGCTCTTATACATAAAGCACCCTATGTGGTCATAAGCCCTAATGAAGGGGGGAGGGGGGTCTGAACCCCCGAAACACATTGGATGTTCTGTGTCTTCTTTCTGTTAGCGAACACTAATCTCAAACTATTTTGGATGCTTTGATCTTTGGTTCTGACTTTTTATACATGGATCTTAAACTTTGGGTCACATAGAAAAGTGGCCCCCTGTTTTGTGTTGAGATCAGTCTCACCGGAGCGGCTGCGCTCCATATGAACTCGATTGACGTTCTTCAGCCATGATCTACAGATAAGTCAAGTCCAGGAACCTCCGACGTACATGCTGTGATATGATTGGCTCCTGTGGGCACTGCAGACACTTTCCTGTTCACCAGTGTGACGTTTATTATTTTAGTGTTTTAGGGGGTTCAGCAGAATTGTGTTTTGTTGTCCTCAGGTTGTGCAGAAATAGCTGATGAAGTGTACATGGAGGTGATTGTGGGGGAGGAAGAGGCCACATCGCTCACAGATTCTCAAACGGAAGATTCAGGGCTAAGCAAGACGTTTGTCCCCGTGGCCTGGGCTGCTGCCTACGGTGAGTGTCCTTCCTAAGTCCTCAGTAGACATGTAAATGAGACTCTAGACCAGTGGTGGCGAACCTTGGCACTCCAGCTGTGCCAAAACTACAAATCCCAACATGCATCTGCCTCTGGGAGTTATGTCCGTGGCTGTCAGAGCCTTGCAATGCCTCATGGGACTTGTAGTTCCAAAACAGCTGGAGTGCCGAGGTTCGCCACCACTGCTCTAGACCGACATGAATCCTCATATGTACTAAGAATTCTGATTCAGTTGTATGACTACCAACCAGTGCCCCGATCTGCTTGAATGCCAGGCTATCGGTATAGTCGAACCTCCATCTGTTCTCCTTCTGGCCCCATGGATTCCTATCCGTTCATTATTATAATGGGCTGCCTATAGGCGGCCAATAGGAATGCATAGGAGCCAAGAGGAGGCAAGCTTGGGGCGGTCAGCGCTGTAGCTGCTTGATACCTGTTGGCATTATTATCTTGTGATGTGGCTTTAATTTTGTTGAGGCTGCCATTGCTCGGCTCCCATTAGCAGTGCTAGTTTTCAAAGCTGCACTTTGCTGTGTTCTGACCCAGGACTAGAACTGTGTGGGATCCAGGTTGTGGCAGCCAGCAGCACTGGACAGGAGTCTCATCTGTAGTCATGGCCACCAATAGAGGGGTACATGCAGTCCTATTGTACCAGTCCCCATCAAGTCATTAGGGGGACCCAGACCCAAATGCTACCCTCCCGCACACAGGAAATGCAAGCCAAAACACTTATACTCTTGAACAGCAACCAGCCAGCAACGTACCGGTCATCACTGATGTGTTCTGGTTGGTCAGTGATTGCAGCAGCAAGTGCCCAGTTAGTCCATAAGTGACTATTACAGCTGGTATTGGGTGGCTTAGGGACTCCTCAGTGTGACCTGTAGGATGTACAATCTTATGTTATAGCAAGGTGCCGACTGGACTGGGAGCAGTTGCCCCCCCCCCTTCCCAGAGGCCGATCACCCAGACTGGTACCAGCCGTATTTCAGAGCGAGACCCACCGATAAGTTACAGTGCTTCTGATTGTTGCTGCAGTTGCTATTGCTTCCTGTTCTGGGCGCTGAGATATGTTCAGCGGGTTCCCGGTGGTCAGAAGCATGGTCACTAATTGGCGTGTTCTTTTCTGATACCGACATGTTCATTAATAAAGATCTTATGCTCTCTAGTCAATCCCTGCACAATACATCCCCCTTATGATCTCATTCGTATTAATAGCATTGGTGGGGGGGAGGTTAAAGTGTATGGGGAGATGGTGGTGGGGGGCTGGCTATCGGGTAGGCTGTACAGATCCCCATGATTTCTAATGACAGCCCTGGTTGTGGTAGTTGACAACCAATGTAACAAATGACGGCTGTGTCGCCTGCGTAACTTCTGTCGCTGATGGTGTTGTGTCCGTCATTCTGTTGTAGGAGACGAGAGGGAGCTGCCCAGGAAGTACGGGGAATGGCAGGAGAGCGGTAAGATCCTCCATAATGTGCTTTTCTAACAAGCTTCCCCTTTATAAATTCCAGAATACAACAAACATCAATCAGTATTAATACATGTATGAGGTAAATGCAACTGATGTCTACTGTAAAAGCCTTCAGTGAACTAAAACACATTTTACATGGTAGCAAATAGCAAATAATGCACAATGAACATCACTTCTATGGTATGCGGTTGAGAGATGACCTACGTGTCCGTCACTGGTGACCTTGTACTTATGGTGAAAGGTCAGCCCCAGAATCTGTGTGAAATGTAATAATTATAAACCCTTAACTGGAGTTCAGAGCTCTCCCACTTCTGAGCTGTCCCCCATGGTACCTCTTCTCTGGCACAAGATGTCATCACTCTTCTGAGTTAAATGACACCCGGAGAGGAAATCCTGTGTGTGGGTGTCATGGACCTGTCCTCTGAGGGGGCATGACCACAGTGCCCGGTACTCACATGCAGAGAAAGATCAATACAGACCATATGCATCACTTAACTGGCCAGAGGACATCTGAAAAAGGTAAGTGTACCTACTCCCAGAGAACAGCAACCAGCCAGCAACGTACCGGTCATCACTGATGTGTTCTGGTTGGTCAGTGATTGCAGCAGCAAGTGCCCAGTTAGTCCATAAGTGACTATTACAGCTGGTATTGGGTGGCTTAGGGACTCCTCAGTGTGACCTGTAGGATGTACAATCTTATGTTATAGCAAGGTGCCGACTGGACTGGGAGCAGTTGCCCCCCCCCTTCCCAGAGGCCGATCACCCAGACTGGTACCAGCCGTATTTCAGAGCGAGACCCACCGATAAGTTACAGTGCTTCTGATTGTTGCTGCAGTTGCTATTGCTTCCTGTTCTGGGCGCTGAGATATGTTCAGCGGGTTCCCGGTGGTCAGAAGCATGGTCACTAATTGGCGTGTTCTTTTCTGATACCGACATGTTCATTAATAAAGATCTTATGCTCTCTAGTCAATCCCTGCACAATACATCCCCCTTATGATCTCATTCGTATTAATAGCATTGGTGGGGGGGAGGTTAAAGTGTATGGGGAGATGGTGGTGGGGGGCTGGCTATCGGGTAGGCTGTACAGATCCCCATGATTTCTAATGACAGCCCTGGTTGTGGTAGTTGACAACCAATGTAACAAATGACGGCTGTGTCGCCTGCGTAACTTCTGTCGCTGATGGTGTTGTGTCCGTCATTCTGTTGTAGGAGACGAGAGGGAGCTGCCCAGGAAGTACGGGGAATGGCAGGAGAGCGGTAAGATCCTCCATAATGTGCTTTTCTAACAAGCTTCCCCTTTATAAATTCCAGAATACAACAAACATCAATCAGTATTAATACATGTATGAGGTAAATGCAACTGATGTCTACTGTAAAAGCCTTCAGTGAACTAAAACACATTTTACATGGTAGCAAATAGCAAATAATGCACAATGAACATCACTTCTATGGTATGCGGTTGAGAGATGACCTACGTGTCCGTCACTGGTGACCTTGTACTTATGGTGAAAGGTCAGCCCCAGAATCTGTGTGAAATGTAATAATTATAAACCCTTAACTGGAGTTCAGAGCTCTCCCACTTCTGAGCTGTCCCCCATGGTACCTCTTCTCTGGCACAAGATGTCATCACTCTTCTGAGTTAAATGACACCCGGAGAGGAAATCCTGTGTGTGGGTGTCATGGACCTGTCCTCTGAGGGGGCATGACCACAGTGCCCGGTACTCACATGCAGAGAAAGATCAATACAGACCATATGCATCACTTAACTGGCCAGAGGACATCTGAAAAAGGTAAGTGTACCTACTCCCAGATATCCCGATACTGGAACTTCCGGTATTAGGAAGCCGAGCCGAGTCATTACACGCTGCCCTGCTTCCTGATTGGCCGGGACCCCGGCTCTATGCTCCCTCCTCACCAGGGAGCATGGAGCTGGCTTCCTGGCCTATCAGGCAGCCATGGGGTGGGGAATGACTCGCCAACCGGCTTCTTGAATGGCCAGAAAGCTGGCTGCATGCTCCCTCATCACTTGGTGATGAGGGAGCATGGAGTTGGCTTCCTGGCCAGTCAGGAAGCCGGGCAGCATGTAATGACTCCTGGCCCAGTTTTATGATTGGTCGGGAAGCTGGCCAATTAGGAAGCCGGGCCGCGAATCATTACCTGCCCCCCAGCTTCCTCATTGACCAGAAAGCCGGCTCCATGCTTCCTCATCGCCTGGTGACAAGAAAGCATGGAGACGGCTTCCTGGCTAATCAGGACTTAATGAGACTTCCGGTATCGGTATTCAGTATCGGCTAGGGATGCACCGATATATCGGCCGCCGAAACATATCGGCCGAAAATGGCACTTTTGGCATAATGCCGAAAGAGCCATGTTTCGGCTGATACAGCGGCGCATTCCTGGTTTCTTTTCTCCCCGCTGGGCGCTTCTCTGTGTCCCAGTGGGGAGAAAAGAAAGTGACAGCCGGCCGGGCGCTGCAGGATGAGAGCGCTGTGAGCGGCCGGCGTCTCTCCTCCCACACCGCTCAGCCGCCTATCACAGTCCAGCAGAGCGGTGTGGGGGCGGAGACAGCCAGCGCTGTCACAGGAGGCTGAGCTCTCCTCCCCGCACCGCTCGATCAGCCTCCTGTGACAGCGTGTCAGAGAGGAGAGCGGGTACAAGCAGTCGGTGATCAGTGATCGCTGAGTGTGTGTAGATAATTGAGGACAGAGTATGGTTACTATATCCTCAATTATGAATGAATGGGAGGTGAGCTACATCACATCTACATCACTTCCTGTTCATTCATAGTTGTAGGTATAGTAATCATACTCAATGTCCTCATGTTATCAATGAACAAGAACACTCAGTATAGAGGATTCCTGGTCATTGATAACAGGGGCTGCAGAAAAAGAGATTGAGAACTTTGTGTCCTAAATCTTTTTTTTTCTATTTTAAAACGGACAACATCAAGGGTCTGTTTAGACCTCCCCCAATATTTCTCCGAAGCCCCTAAAAGAAAAAATGTTAAAAATATTTAATAAAAAATGAATTAATAAATATAAAAAAATTAAAAAGTTTATAAAAAATAAATAAAATATTAAAAAGATTTTTAAAAAAAATAAATATAAAAAAAAAACATTTTCGGTATCGGTTTCGGCCTGACAATTTTTTTTATTTCGGTTTTAAAATTTCCATTTCGGTGCCCCTCTAGTATCAGCGATACCGGAAAAAAATATGGGTACTCGATACCGAAAAAACGATTTTGGTGCATCCTTATTAGTATAAGTTTAAAGCTGACCTTGCAGTACAATGTAGGGTTGGTGTAAAATGTACCTAATAAAGAAAAACGTTAGATTTCTACTTGCGTTACCTCCTTCCGCATGGCTGGGCGTGATGTCACCTTCCAGGAAGGGGAATGCGGGGGCAGATAAGATCTCACGAGAAGACACATCAATCCATTGCAAGACCATTGCACCGCCGGTGGAAGATGGGGGTGGGGTAAGTATAAACCCTAAGGCCCCGTTCACATTGAGCGATTTATCGCGCGGTAATTCCCGCGATATCGCGGCTATTTACCGCGCGATATCGCTCTCCAATGCAAGGCAAAGGGTCCTGCTGTCGCGGGTCGTGCGTCGCTACAGCAGAACCCTTTTTGGAGCGGATTTTGCCGCGATTCCATTCTTTGCAATGCAAGCATTTGCGCGATATAGCGCAAAATGCAAATCGCGCGACAAACGCGCGATTTGCAAATCGCGCAGTGTGAATGGGGCCTTAATTGTCAATTGTGATAACATTTTCTGTCTACACTAATATTTTCGTCATTCAACATGCGGGCTGAAGAAAGAAAATACAACAGATTCCTCCAACACTTACGAGCATTGATCAAGGAATCTCCCGCTGTCACCAGTGCATTCTGATGTCGGCCGCTGTCAGAGCCGGCAGCTCATTGGCTCTGTTCATTCGAAGATTTTACGTCCGGCTCCTTCGATCAGCTGATCATGGGATGTCGGCTGAAATAGGCACCCACTGTGCAATTTTCGTCCGGTTCACCGAGAACTGGGCGAAATTCGCATAGTGCATGGCCACCTTTACACACAGCTTTCCTCTGCCTGCAATAATTTCTTCTGTCAGGAAACGTCGAGTCTCGCCTGGAAACAAAGAACGGAACGGCGACCCAGTACCTGCAGATCTGCGACAGTATCGCCACCAGCAGAGCCCTGAAACAGAAAGCCAAAAAGAGGAGGCGAGGGGACGGCAGACAGTGGCAGACGGGTAACTTGCCCCGATCTCTTCTCATTTTATATAACTGTTATGTGGTCTTTTGGTGAATGTTTGTGGTTTCGGGGGGGAGGCTGGGGTTGGTGAATATTTGTTTGGTGTCCTGTGACCGCAGACTGACCAGAAGACTGATAGATTACAGGTATGTATAAGGGGATTACAAACAAGAATAGGTGTCATGTGTGTTTGATAAATGACTTTCTTTCTCATCCATTGAGGGACACAGGAATTCAAATACTGTTAGGTTATACTGCCACGTGCAGGAGGATTGGACAATGACATACAAACAAAATAGTAGGCCTGCCCAGTATAACTCCTCCACTACCCAGCATGGCACCATTTTTTTGTAGTCTCTTGGAGGATGGACGTTCTTCTCAGCTTTGTTCTCCCGATTTTTGTTATACTTTTTTCCTTCATTTGATTCTTAGATTTCTTCTTGCATTGACTTCAATTAGGATTCCTCACTAGAACGCTGCTTGAGTTGGTCTCTACATGGCACCTATCCAGATCGGCCTTTCCTCAGCCTGACTTTGGAGTGTCGTACCCTGTCCTTCAGGCTCTGGGTCCCACTTGTGGCACTTTCCAGACATCAAGTTCTGGTAAAAGTTAGCGATGGAGAGCTTTCCAGGTCCAGAGCGGTGGCATGTCCACCTCACACCTCTTGTAGGCTGCTGTGCTGTAGTGGATTTAGGGGACCTATTCTTCCCTGGGGCTTGATCCCAGTTATTGTTGACCACATTAGGCTGTGGGTCTTTTCCAGCACTATTTGGAAAATTGTAGGGATGCACCGATATATCGGCCGCAAACATATCGACCGAAAATGGCACTTGTGGCTCAATGCCGAAAGGGCCATTTTCCTGCTGATACATCGGCGCATCCCAGGTTTCTTTCCTCCCCGCTGGGCGCTGCTCTGTGTCCCAGCGGGGAGGAGAGAAACTGTGATAGCCGGCCGAGCGCTGCGGGAGGAGAGCACTGTTAACGGCCGGTGTCTCTCCTCCCACAACGCTCAGCCACCTATGACAGTCCGGCAGAGCGGTGTGTGGGCGGAGACAGGCTGCGCTATCACAGGAGGTTGAGCTCTCCTCCCCGCTCCGCTCGCTCAGCCTCCTGTGACAGCGTGTCAGAGAGGAGAGCGGGTACAAGCAGTCGGTGATTAGTGATCGCTGAGTGTTTGTTGATAATTGAGGACATGGTATGTTGACTATATCCTCAAATATGAATGAATGGGAAGTGATCTACATCACATCTACATCACTTCCTGTTCATTCATAGTTGTAGGTATAGTAAACATACCATGTCTTCATGTTATCAATGAACAGGAACACTCAGTATAGAGGATTCCTGTTCATTGATAACAGGGGATACAGAATAAGAGATTAAGGACTCTGTGTGTCTCTGAGGGCTCTGTGTGTCTCTGAGGACTCTCTGTGTCTCTGAGGACTCTGTGTGTGTCTCTGAGGGCTCTGCGTGTCTCTGAGGGCTCTGCGTGTCTCTGAGGGCTCTGCGTGTCTCTGAGGGCTCTGCGTGTCTCTGAGGGCTCTGTGTGTCTCTGAGGGCTCTGTGTGTCTCTGAGGGCTCTGTGTGTCTCTCTGAGGGCTCTGTGTGTGTCTCTGAGGGCTCTGCGTGTCTCTGAGGACTCTGCGTGTCTCTGAGGACTCTGCATGTCTCTGAGGGCTCTGTGTGTCTCTGAGGACTCTGTGTGTGTCTCTGAGGGCTCTGCGTGTCCCTGAGGACTCTGCGTGTCCCTGAGGACTCTGCGTGTCTCTGAGGACTCTGCGTGTCTCTGAGGGCTCTGTGTGTGTTTCTGAGGACTCTGTGTGTCTCTGAGGGCTCTGTGTGTCTCTGAGGGCTCTGTGTGTCTCTGGTTGATCACCTCCTTGCTGGTTCAGTGCTCCCTCTTCGTTTGGGGCCGTTACCCTGCTGCTGAACTTTCTATCTAGTCCTTGAGCATCTGGTTGATTCTTTGTGCCCTCCCTCTGGTCCTGTTGGAAGGCTTCCCTATCTGGTAGAGATCTTGGCCTCATCCACTTTCAGAATTGGGTGTTGGTCCTTCAGATGGCTTTTGGGCTGCAAGTTTTTTTGTTAGGCCTGTTAGCGTTTGTTGCTGGGGTTGTCCATCCCTTGGTTTGACTGCTTCATGCTCTTAGCACTGCTTGCTAATGCCTGAGGCATGCTGGGGTACAGGAGGGGTCACCCTGGAGCTAGCCTACAATTTTTTGATTTGCCGGTGTCCAATGCTCCTGTAGGTGGGCGGTATAACCGTACTGTCCGAATTCCGGTGTCCCTCAATGGTCTCCAAGAAAGGCGAGTACAAAAATCCTATTATCTGTGAGAACAAATACTTTCCATGTGAATTTGTAAAATATCGACCTAAACCTTAAACAAAAGGCAGCCTATGTTTCATATGGCATCATAATAATCTTCTTCACTTCTCTGCATTCTGCACAGCCGTCATCATCGGCCCCGACGGTCAGCCACTGACCGTGTACCCGTGCCACATCTGCGGTAAGAAGTTTAAGTCGCGGGGCTTCCTGAAAAGACACATGAAGAATCACCCGGACCATCTGATGAAGAAGAAATACCAGTGCACAGACTGCGACTTCACCACCAACAAGAAAGTCAGCTTCCACAACCACCTGGAGAGCCACAAACTGACCAGCAAATCCGAGAAGCCTCACGAGTTCACCGAGTACACGCGGCGCTATCGGGAGGCCAGCCCGCTCAGCTCAAACAAGCTGATCCTGAGAGACACCGAGCCCAGGGTGCACAAATGCAAATACTGCGACTACGAGACGGCCGAGCAGGGGCTCCTCAACCGCCACCTGCTGGCCGTACACAGCAAGAATTTCCCACACGTGTGTGTCGAATGTGGGAAGGGCTTCAGACACCCCTCCGAGCTGAAGAAGCACCTTAGGACCCACACAGGGGAAAAGCCTTACGCGTGCCACTTCTGCGAGTTCCGCTGCGCCGACCAGTCGAACCTAAAGACGCACATTAAAAGCCGCCACGGCGCGGACTTGCCGTTCAAGTGCGAGCAGTGCCCCCAGGCATTCACCGACGAGAAGGAGCTCCTGCGCCACGCCGAGCTCTTTCAGGGTCACAAAACCCACCAGTGCCCCCACTGCGACCACAAAAGCACCAACTCCAGCGACCTAAAACGCCACGTCATTTCCGTCCACACCAAGGATTTCCCCCACAAGTGCGACGTGTGCGACAAGGGCTTCCACCGCCCCTCCGAACTTAAGAAACACAGCGAGATGCACAAAGGCAAAAAGGTCCACCACTGCCGCCACTGCGACTTCAAAACCCCCGACCCGTTCATCCTGAGCGGCCACATCCTGTCTGTGCACACAAAAGACCTGCCCTTCAAGTGCAAAAAATGCAAACGTGGCTTCCGGCTGCAGCCGGAGCTCAAAAAGCACATGAAGACGCACAGCGGCAAAAAGGTCTACCAGTGCCAGTACTGCGAGTACAGCACGACGGACGCGTCCGGCTTCAAACGCCACGTCATCTCCATACACACCAAGGACTACCCGCACCGCTGCGAGTTCTGCCAAAAGGGATTCCGACGGCCGTCCGAAAAGAATCAGCATATCATGCGCCATCACAAGGAGGTCCTTTCGTAACTGTGTTTAATTCTGTGTGGAAACAATGAGGAGAGCGCTGCTCTGCCGCACTTCATGCATGATAGGAAATGTAGCACTTTTTGTATGAAGGATTGGAGGGTACGTGCAATGCCTCCCCATGTAAGGCCGTCACGCCCGTGTCAAACAATACAGGGTGACGGAGGGCAGGACGGGGCAACATAGAGGACCGCAGTCCCCTCACAGTTGTTCCAACATACGGCGTCTAAGCAAACCGCAGCATTTGTCCCTTTTCTCTGATGTCTTGAATGTTGATGTAGAATCCATTTCATGCTGATGACATCTCAAGCCATAATGGTGGCCAGGCACATCGTTGTGATCATTTAATGAAACACTCAATGCAACTAAACCAAATGGATCAAAGAGAAGTCACAAACCGGTGGCCTTCCCTTCGATCCATTTAGAGAGCTCCTGATTGATTTTCGACTCTCTTGCAGCTGAATTTTGCCAATCGTTTCTGATCGATACATGGGCCTGTGCCGGCGGCTTTTTGTTTGCATTCGACGGGTGTTGCATTCCCATACTGTCAGGGACAAAGGTTCGTATCCTCTGAGAGAAGGGCTGTCCAAATGATGCAGAAGCACATAGGAGGCTGAATAGAGACACAAGTGTCACGGAGAAGCACAGGGCACGCTAGGAGTTGCTAGATGACACGGGGTGCACTGGAGTCACAGAGTGCACTAGAGGTAACTAGATAACATAGAATGCACCAGGGTGCAATGGAGTCATGCGACGCACTAGGGTAACTAGATAACATAGGAAGCTCTGGGGTGCAATGGAGTCATGTGACGCACTAGGGTAACTAGATAACATAGGATGCTCTGGGGCGCAGAGGAGTCACAGAGTGCACAGGGGTGTACTGGAGTCACGAGGTGCACTAGGGGTAATTAGATAACATAGGATGCTCTGGGTTGCAGAGGAGTCGTGGGGTGTCCTAAGTGTAACTGGATAACTTAGGATACTCTGGGTTGCTGAGGAGTCAAGTGGTGCACTGTAATCATGGGGCTCACTGTGGGTTACTACATAGGGTACTCTGGGGTGCTATGGAGTCAAGGGACGCACAGGGGTGCACTACAGTCATGGGGCACACTAGGGGTAACTAGATAACACAGGGTGCTAAGGGGTGCAATGGAGTCATGGGGCTCACTAGATAACATAGGATGGTCTGGGTTGCAGAGGAGTCAAGGGGCGCACAGGGGTGCACTGGAATCATGGGGCTCACAGTGGGTAACTAGATAACATAGCATACTCTGGGGTGCTATGGAGTCAAGGGACGCACAGTGGTGCACTACAGTCATGGGGCACACTAGGGGTAACTAGATAACACAGGATGCTCTGGGGTCCAATTGAGTCATGGGGCTCACTAGATAACATAGCGTTCTCAGTGGCGATCAGGAGTCACTAGATGATACACAATGCTCGGGGGTGCACTGGAGTCATGGGGGCTCACTAGATAACAAAGGATGCTCAGGGGTGCACAGGTGTCTCTAGATGACACAGGATGTTCTGGAGTCACCAATTGCTCGACCATCAAGTCACATGTCCTTTCAGGAGAACTGTCTTGTGATTGGTCATGGTGCTGTGGATAAAACCCAGAAGTGCCGGTGGTTGAGGGCCCGAGGGGAGACCTGGCACCGGATCCAAGGAGAGTTGAGTGCGCCACATACAAGTCCATGGGAATGCAAGACCCGCCGGTCAGAATGAGGTCGGCTGTCACTGAATTGTACACGACCTCAGAAGAGTCTCACACTGATGCCATGGACACAAGCCCAAAGTCCGATTCTATGTTTGGGTTTACCTGATCACATTTATGATTGATCGTATTTCTGATCAATATTGTCAGTTGCTCACAAACATCGATCGATCACAAAGCGCTAGATGTGCGGCCATCTTTATAGCGATCCCCAGTCCTCTGTGCTGCCCGCCATCTCTCCCTCCTGCTCAGTGAAGGAAGAAGGCGACCGGCGATGATATGAACACGAGAATATTGATCCTTTTACTTTTGTTTGCACTTTGTTGATTGGTCCTTGGGTAGGGAAGGGTTAAGGACCAATGTCAGGACAGTTCTGATGTAAGACGGTGAAGCCATCAACTTTGTAAATACTCTATATGACTATATTGGTTCCGTCTACCAGCTCCCCCAGCACCACTGGGCCCAGCAATCCGGTTCTGCTTGTTGTAGGAAGAGCAGCAGATAGAGCAATGCTCGGTCTGTGCGGACATTCCACAGGCAGCTGTACGTAGCCGTGTTTTACATTCACCACATGTTCACCATTGGGCACAACTGATACGGCAATAGCCTGCCCAGTCATAATGGTGATGATAGACAATATACACAAATGTACTTGGGGATGAGCTCCAGGGGGATAGCTCAATGCACAGGTGCAATATATTGCTTGCCAAAAGATTTGAAATTCTGTTTGGCCGGTCTGGTGATCCAGGTACCCCTGCCAGACGGCACAGCCAGGTTCTTGGTTCAAACAGACACCTGTCTGTGAATTAGACAATGAAGGTGCGGCAGTACACCGGTACGCTCAGCATCTGATTGGATCACTGCACT